CTGTCATAGACTTAAAAAAAGGCAAACAGTAGGGCATCAAGACTTATTATCATAAACATTTCATGTAATAAAATCCTGCAAGGGAGCATTTAGATGCATTAAACTTGTTTGGTTCCTATCCCCATCTCAGTTGAATTCCCCTTTAAGTCTCACACTGATTTCAAAGATGGCTTAACCAGGTCTAGGAGAAGTAAGTAAGATTTAGAGGAGATCTTTTTTGGAATGTGTCTTTCCTGTGGAATAGTGCACAAATAGGCACTCATAACAGTCAACAGGAAAACTCCTTCACAGTGCAAAAGGGTCATTCTACAGAACTGTCCATTTTTGTGTCCCTAGCATTTACAGGCATATTACACTTGAAAACAGGTTAGGGTTACAATTTGTTCATATGTTAAAATAAAACAATAAGTTATTTTAACAATTACACCTTCTTGAGCCATCAATTTAGCAATATTGGTTTTTAAATCAATTATATAGAATTCCAAGCACCACAGAAGTGCTCGTCCTCACAGTCATGTGTAAAGGCTGAGTGCTATATTTTGAGGTAAAAAACATGTTTTTCTACTATTTTAACTGCAATAATCTATACATGACTATGAAATATATTAATTAAATGACATAAAGAAAACAAATGCCAAATAAATATTATAAAATAGCTAATGAAAGTTGTTGTCCCCAGGAGGTGTCACTAGTGTTACTGTGTAACACAAAAACCTCTTCTTGCGTAATAAAAATCACACTGACGACATCACTTGACTTCCTTATACCTAGCACATATTAAGTCCTCTGCGTCTTTTCAGTTATCAAGAATTTTCTCATTTTGCTCATGATTTCATATGAAGCTTTTAGCTGAAGTCACTGGTGTGACCTACTTTACTCTTAGATAATTGTGAAAAAACAGAATACAAATGGATTAAATTCCATATTTTAGTGGATGTTCCATGATTGACAACATGTGGTTTGATGCTTTGTAGCAGCAAGTTTGTAAAATGCATTTGTCATTAAAAATGTCCCTGGTGTTACTTTTCTTATGTGTAACATCAATGACAATCAGTAACACCAGTGACTCCTATGGATAGATAAAAAAGTGGACATTTCTGTAGAATGACCCAGAAGTGCATTTGGTTACTTGTACTTTTTTGAAGTGGCATAGAGAAGAAAAGAAATATGAAGCAAAATATTGACCTTACATTTGATGGAATGATGATTTGAATAAATGCACAGAGCACATTCAGTGGCTTTCAGCGAGGCCTGTATGAGAGTCAGACCACGGTATGTTTGTGCCCCTTCCCATGCACCCTTGCAGAGCTGGCTTCACTAAATGCTTCTTTGTCTGGGCCTTTGATACTGGCTCACAGACAGGGAGATGAGGCCATGAGAGATGAAGAACACATATTTGTGTGTGTGTGTGTGTGTGTGTGTGTGTGTGTGTGTTTGGGTATACGGGTTTATGCCACACTGTGGGGACCTTTCTTCCTTGTGGTGACCAGATTGTGGTAAAGTTTAAGGTTAGGGTTGGCGTTAAGGTCAGGGTTAAGGTTAGTAGCTGCGGTTAACGTTTGGGTACGTCTTCAGGAAATGAATGGAAATCTATGTAATGGCCCCACAACTACCTGAAACAAGATTGTGTGTGTGCATGAATATGTTTGTGTTGGAAATGATGAGGTGGAGTTTTAGTTGGCCCAGACAGCTTCAGTCACCAACCAAAAACATACATTGCCAGTACTTTAGTTGTGAGCGTAACATTAACTTTCTAACTTCAAGCAGTTTTCACATAATTGCGGTGGCATTTACCTTCCTCAGACAATATTATTGACTGGACCTGCTTAGACCTGAGCTCAAACTCAGTTTGCTACCAACTGACCTATTTATAGTCCACCCACAAATGTGTTCTTTCATAGCAACTGTTGCGAATTTGGACAAGCTTTACAGAACGTTGAAAAAATCTCGTTCACCTAACTTGCTTTTTTTCAAGTGTGTTAAATTTTCTCAATATTTACTTTGCACGTTTGCAAAGGGACACACTGTCAGGACGAATCAGCTGCGGCATTCTTTTTTTTTTTTGGTTGTGTAATTGAACTAACATTAGCATTACCTGCTTACATTCTATTAGCTACAACAACATAGTCCAGATCAGTGCTAGCATTGTAAATAGGAAGCACAACTATATGTAGTGACACCTTTTGTGTATTTTGAAAAAAATAAATATCTTGAGAGTTAAAGGGAATGTTTGTTCTGTAAAGCTGCTATGAAAGACAGTACGTCAATAGTCAACATTCCTCAATGGTGTCTGATTTGTAAACTGGAATTCGAGAGTGATTTTGAGAGCACTACAATCTCCCACAATGCACTTGCAATTTCCAGTCAACGCCATACTGCATTGCAAGTGTCTTGTTACTAAGCAACCGACAGGGGAACATTAGCTGATATTAACAGCAGCTGCAGAAAACTAGAGCCACTGGAAACCTGAGACTTGAGACTCTGTACAACTAAAAACAAAGACAAATTAACGTTAAAATTAAGTAGACTAGTTTTAAGAAGTTACTCTCATGTCTACAGATACGAATAATAAGCCAAGTTCAGTTATTACTTTGTGTGTTTTTACAGCTGTTTAGTAAACTACTTAGTTCACTACTACAGAGCACAGCTGGATCAGTGTCATCCTGCTAAAGCTGATATGTGCAAAAATGCAAAATCCCTCTCTGACCTGATCTGTCCTGGACATGTCTCTGCTATTATGAATAAGGAATAACTTTAAAAATAATAAAGCATAAATATGTTATTAATGCACTGACCTACTCTCACTCAATGAAGATGTTTAAGGATCCATTAGGTATATGTGTGTGTGTGTGTGTGTGTGTGTGTGTGTGTGTGATCACAGGGGAGAGAGAGAAATATCATTTTAAGTGTCATAAAAAATCTATGGGGGCATAATGAAATATGGCGCATTCAAATTGGTGAGAGGAGAGAGAGCGAGAGAGAGAGAGAGCGAGAGAGAGAGAGAGAGAGAGAGAGAGAGAGCGAGAGAGAGAGAGAGCGAGCGAGAGAGAGAGAGCGAGAGCGAGAGAGAGAGAGAGAGAGAGAGAGAGCACAGATGCCAAATAGGGATCATTCTAACAAATTGGTTCAATGTCAGAGTTGAAAATACTTTTAACTTTATGTTTCAGTAGTAACAATTTTATACATTGATTTTCAGACTTTGGGGCACATTTACTTTAAAACAATGGGATCTAACCGCTCATCATGTGGCCATGAGTGACAGGGATGCGGTCTCAGTTCCTGCTCTAAAATGAGGGGTGTGGCTATAATAAGGCTCCGCTTATAGACTAAACCTCTGTGTTTCGGTAGTGACATGAAAATGTCTGACAGCAGTTTTTGTTTTTTTTTTGTTTTTTTTCAAATTGAACTCATGATAAATCTACATCTTTAAGTGTTATTTTCATAAGTTGAATGCAGTCAGGGTTCTGGACAGGCAGCTCTCAGTAGGAAGTACCTGATAAATGATGATTATGTTTAGAGAGGCAGGTGAATGGAAAGGCAGCACTAACAGGTTGTGTAGTAAAAGACCTGCATGACACGCCTACACAGACAGTTCAGTCACTGTAACTGATCTGACTGTGTTGACTCAGTACATCCTTACAGACAGAGAGCAGCTCTGAATGACTCTCTCTCCTCTTACAGTGCAGCAGCTAATACAGCCCTCCGCCAGCTCCTCTCTCTCTCCATCTCTCTCTCTCTCCATCTCTCTCTCCTTTCTGTCTCTCCTCCTCCCCTCTCTCCATCGCTCTCTCCTTCTTCACTACAGCGCAGCAGCTAATACAGCCCTCCGCCAGCTCCTCTCTCTCTCCCTCTCTCTCCTCTGTCATTCCATCTCTCTCTCCATCTCTCTCTCTTCCTCTCTCATTTCACCTGTTTCTCTCTCTCTCTCCCCTTGTACTCCTCTCCTTCTCTCCCTCTCCCTTTCTTCGTTATTTATTTCTCTCTTTGTCTCTATCTTCTGCTCCTTCCCTCCTTCTTTCTTTCTTTTTTCTTTCTGGCCTGATCCCTTTTTCTTTTTACATCTTACCCAGTCTGTCTTACTTCCCTCTCTTTCTTTTCTCTCCCCATCTCTCCCTCTCTTTCCCTCACTCTCTCTCACCCCAGTCTGTCTTTCCTCTCTTTCTTCTCTCTCTCCTCCCCCTCGTTGTCCTTCTCCCTCCATCTCTCTCTATCTCTCTCTCTCTCTCTCTCTCTCTCTCTCTCTCTCTCTCTCTCTCTCTCTCTCACCCACACACAATGACTGGGGGCTTTTAAAAATAGCGGTGATCCTTCCAGATTATGGCGCGCGCCTTGATTAATTACTACGTTTGAAGCACTGGCGCGAGCGCGGGCGGCTCGGTGCGGAGACGAAGACAGCACGCGGACAGCACGCGGGGGAGGGGAGGGGGCTTAGAGCAGCGATAGAAAGCGCGTGGAAGCGCAGATGTTAGGAGGCAAACAAACACACACACACACACACACTACGCCTCCGTCAGTCGCGCGGCCTCCGAGATGAACTCGTAAATTTACTTTTCGAATCTCAAACTTTATTTCCGTCGCTCCGCGCGGCCTTTCGCGCGCTGGGCGTCAGAAACGGAGATTTTCTGGCAGAACCGAGTTCGGCAAAACTAACAGATAAATAAACCGTAGCCAGTTGTAGCCTCTCTCGCTCACGCCCACCACTTTCACAGATCTCTTTTATTGTCACGAACACTGGCAGCCCGCAGCTCTTTATCCCTGCAGTAAATTAAGGATGAGTATCAAATGCCCGCGCATTTTGCACTGTTTGCAGTTTTACACACGTTTTGCTTTTTACATGCGTTTACACTGCACTCACTGCACTGCACTCACGTTTTTTTCCTACCTGCTTTCCAAAAGCCCCGCCCCCTGCGCAGGGATTGGCTAGTAGTTCACCTTCAAAACCTTCACATGTCAGAGTTTGTTTGCGTCCGTGCACCATGGCAACAGAACAGGCACTCAGGCAGCCCTTTTTTCCCGCCCGTTTTCTGACAAACCCCACCTATACATGTATAGACTAGAGCCTGTCAGTATATATTAATGCCCCGTGGTTATGAACTATGTGAGTTTTAACTAATAGCCAATCAGGACGCTAGAAATTCCTACCAGTCGTATCGCAGCAGGATACGTTTGCCGGAATACGGGTGGGAAAAAAACCCCGAATCCCCTTCACCTGCGGACTGTCAGAACTGAACTCGAGTTTGGCCTACAAGCGGTAGCAGGAATGGCGTGGACAGAGCCAACGCAGCCACAGTTTCAGTCGGACGACTGGTCAAACATCAAAATCGTTCAACAACCAGTGAGTTCCCTTTCTGTGGATAAACAGTAGGATATCTTTAAGCCTGTTGGCTACAAAAAACTTTAATAACTACAGTTAGGCGACAGAATTACTTTATCAATTCACCTAGTACTCTAACTTACTCTAACTAGTTTATTCTAACTAGTTTACTCTACCTTTACTAGTATCCTGTAACTGGTTTACTCTAACTTGTATACTCTACTATAACTAGTTTAACTAGTATACTCTACTCTAACTAGTATACTTCAGCTAGTTTACTCTAAATAGTTTACTCTACTTTAACTAATATTCTCTAACTAGTATACTGTAACTAGTTTAACTAGTATACTCTAATCAGTTTGCTATCTAACTAGTACACACTAGGTAAACTAGTACACTTTACTATAACTAGTATACACTAAATAGTTCGTTCTATTCTAACTAGTATACGCTAACTAGTGTACTATACGCCAACTAGTTTACTCTAACTAGTACACTTTACCTAGTTTACTCTACGGTTACAAGTATTCCCTAACTGTTTTACTCTACTCTAACTAGTATACTCTACTATAATGTATACTCTAACTAGTTTACTTTACACTAACTAGTGTACTCTAACTAGTTTAACTAGTATACTCTAACCAGTTTGCTCTCTAAATAGTACACTCTAGTTAAACTAGTACACTTTAATATAACTAGTATACTCAAACTAGTTTACTCTGACTAGTTTACTCTAATATTACTAGTATTCTCTAGCTAGTTTACTCTACTCTAACTAGTATATTCTACTATAACTAAGATAGTTTAACTGGTTTACTTTACTCTAACTAGTATTCTCTAACTAGTATACTGTAGCTAGTTTAGTCTATTTTAACTAGTATACTCTTACTAGTTTACTCTATTCTAGCTAGTATTCTCTGACTAGTACACTAACCAGTAACCAGTTTAACTAGAATACTCTACTATAAGTAGTATACTTTAACTAGTTTATTCTATTCTTACTAGTATTCTCTAACTGGTTCACTCTACTTTAACTAGTGTACTCTAACTAGTTTGGTCTACTATAACTACTTTACCCTATTCTAAGTAGTACATTCTAACTACTCTAACTAGTTTACACTGGTTCACTCTACTCTAACTAGCATACTCTAATTAGTTTACTCTAACTAGTATACTGTGATTGGTTTACTCTAACGAGTGTACTCTAGCTAGTTTACTAGTATACTCTACTCTGACTAGTGTACTGTGGAACTGTCTTCAAATCATCATTAAAATGGAGAGAATCGATGACTGAAATGGCAGAAATGACTCAACAGATGGAAACAACAACAAGCTAAAAGCTACAGTAGGGTAGTTACATTGTTATCTAGTTTATCTTCTTTTCTCTGGCTGAAACAGTACAAAACCTTGTCTCTCATGTCTGTTTTGTGCTGATTAAAGACCGACTCACTGACCAAAAGAACACTAATGCAAGTTTGGTTGTATTTATTAACCTATAGATCAGTGGCTGGCCATCGGGATTGGCTGATATCACAGGGATTTCTAATGGCCCTACAATGTACTATATTTGTGTAATGAACTGATGAACAAAAGCATGAAAACAATATATGAAATTGTGAATGCTGGCATAAGACAATAAGGCTGAAGGATATTATGCTGCTGTACTGCATATTATGACAAATACCATATTAAACTGAATACAAAAAAAATACAAAAAACTGTGCACATTTGTCATTTTGTTTGTTTATATATGGAAGACAAATATTTAGCCTATTAAAAATGAAGCTAGATGTGTCCTACAAACCAGAGAACTCAGTACTCCTAAGTGAAGCTGTTTCTATACGTCTCTTTTTCCACAGGCTCCTCAGCCTGTAACACTTTTCCAGCAGCTCCCTGCAGCAGTGGCTTCACCTGTGCCCTCTGTACGCCCAGGACACATCAGAGAGGGTATGACACCACACACACACACACACACACACACACACACACACACACACACACACACACACACACACACACTAAAGCCATTTTCTGAAATTACTACAGTAAGGCACTGGAGTCATATTGTCCATGTAACCAGCAAGCAGTGATCTAACTACCAACATTGAATAATAGAGTTAAAATAGAGCCGTTTTATCTTTATTTTGTTGTAAATATTGGTGTAAAAAATCTCATTGTGAAAAAAGTAAAAAAATATATTAATTTAAATATTTATGAATATTTAAACAGATGTGTATTATTTATTCATCAGAATTAGGGGAGAGCATGTTTTGGTCATCATCTCATATTCTTATAGAAACGTCATCTGGCATATATGACAGCAAGTAGACAGATATCCCTCAAAATTGACTTCAAAGAGTTTTATTGTACCACAAAACAGTACAAAAACACACTAATTGTCATTTTACTTATAAACTTTATTATTTTTGTAAATATATGCTCATTCTAAATATGTTGCCTGCAACACTTTCCTCTGTGTTACATCATCTTTCCTTTTAAGAGCGCTTAATAAAATGATATTTCTTGGCTTTGTCATGTTGAAATAAGCATGAACGTCCCTGAAAAAGATGGCAGATAAAAGCCAGCACACATTGCTCTAAAATGTGTTCAGCGTTAATGGTGCGTTCACAGATGTGCAAGTTACCACGTCATGGGCTCTAATACACTCACACACCATGACAGACTCTGGCTTTTGAACTTTACACTGGTAACAATCTGGATGGTCCTTTACTTCTTTGACCCAGAGAACACATATGTCCATATTTCCAATGGGAAAGTTTGACTCGTCAATATATATCAGTTTTATCATGCTGATATTTGCTGTGCTAGTTTATGGTCATAAATACTTTTCCTACTTTTGACAGAGCATCCTTTCACTAATCAGATATTTTTATGGAAAAGTTTGACCGTATTTGAATTAAAGCTGCGGTAGGTAACCTGTAGAAAATAACTATGTCCTGACAGCAGTACATGAAACAGATAATCTGTGAAAAACACAGGCACCCTTTGGCTTCACCTAGTGCTCCTAATGCCATTTGAAAGAATCCACTGTGCCCTAATCAAAACTACCAATCAGAGGCAGATAAAACAAGGGTAAACATCAGAGCGGCCTTTCAGAGGTGGAGGGAACTGATGTTAGGGAACCTTAAAAGCTTCAAATCAGATGCCAAGTCAGCCCCATTTCTCCTTAACATGTAATTACCTCTGCATGATTTATGTTTTATTTGATTTTTGATCACAAAGCTAAGATGTTAATGGTTACAGTAACACTCTGTAGCACATATCATATTACTGTGATGTTGCATTTGGGCTAACGTTAGCTTGTTTCTGATGCTAAGGCTGCTGATTAGCATTGTTTTTTTTTTTTTAAAGTTGCTGAAAACGTCTGTGTCAAGTGCCCAGACAGTCGTATCAGTGTGGTGTTTGTCCTGATGTTTATGTGTGCCTGTGCTCTAAAAGCTAATTATTCTCATAAGTGGTTTACTGCTTATGTAGCACTGTGAATGACATTTCCTGTTATCCCACAAACATCTAACCACTGACATAAGTGTGTGCTAGTTGCCATGGTTGCTAGCCTGGGCGTGCATGGCAGCCTTTTCTGAGGGGAGGGGCTTTGGAGGCAGGGCTGGAGCACAGCGGAGATGGAGGGACCTGGAAGTTGTACTCGGTCAAATTTTTAAGCTAAGACTCTCTTTTCAATCCTACCTACTGCAGCTTTAATCGTGTTTGCACCAATTTCTCAGACATTTTAGCAAACCTGCTGTCTGTTGAAGTGGCATTTGCTTTCACATCACTTTCAGCTGAGTTGTTTACAGATGGTAGTGGCTGGAAACAAAGTTTACGTTTTCAGTTGTAGCATCAAATATATTAAACATATTTAGGAAGAAAACAAAACCTGCTATATTGTGCACCACTCAAAAAAATGACTCAAATTCTGTATTACAGTAATGGCTTAACAGATGCCCTGCCCCATAATGAAAAACAGCCAAAAATGTTGCCCTTAAGCACCATTACAGTTAAGCGAGGCAGACTGGGCTTGGAGAGATTAAAAAACCTTTACTGAATTACATTTTTAATCACTTTGTAATAACATTTTATAAGCTCTTCAACTTTTTCTAAAGTCTCTATGTTCACTTACTGATGTCAAGTATGGCTCAATCCTGCATTACTTCAGTCACTGCGCAACCCACACTGACCTGTCTGAGTGATGTGTACTACGCCCTCAGTGTCTGGGCTTTCCACACACGCACCTGGCAAGTCTGGACAGAGTGAGGGTGACATATATCCTTCTCCAGAAATCTAGGGCAGTGTTTATCCTTTTCATTCTTGTTCACTGGGCCCACACAATGCATCCCTATGGATGCACTGGAGGAGTACACGTGTTTGGGTGAGCTGTGGTATCAGGAGCGTCTGGTCAAACATTGCAGGTCTAATGCTGTGGCTTTTTGTCTCATCGTTTCCTCAAGCCTTCCTTTAGAACAGTGCCTCAACCATGACTCACACTGGGCTCAAAATGATCTCTTAATCACTACTCCCTACCTCAGGAGCACTAGACAGAGCACTGCTGCACGGAACAGAATTCAGCATTCAGCTAAACAATTTCATACTCTAAAGAGATAATTGACTAACAGAGCACTTGTTACTTAACTATTCAATTATTAAGATACTGCTCCAAAATTATAAATGGATCTTGCATTTCCTGAAATCAAAACAAAAAATATGCCAGTTTTGTTCTGACCTGAATCTCAAAGTTGTGTTGGAAGCAATAGCATTATGATACCGTTCCTGATGCCAGAGTCTTGTAGGTTTTGTTGCCCAGTGTGGCCAAAAACCATCCATGTTGGCATGAAATGATTATTTCATTGACAAGCAAAACAGCCAACATTATTTTTTAATTACATGTAGGGGCAGGTGATTGTTCAAATGGCGCTACAGCAAAAACAGACCCACAAAACAACAACAATCACATAATGGGATATTGGGAAAAGTCTAGGTCTACAAGAGTCAGGCAATAAGGGGATTTCGGCTTTGCGACCCACCAGTAAACTCACAAAAGAAGAAGGATGTGACGTAAAATTGACACAAAATCTGGCTACATTTGTGGATTACGTTTGTAGAAAACCCAATTACTGAGATAAAATCTATTGTTGGATTCCTTGAAAACTGATAGCAGCCTTAATCTGATCTAAGAAATCGGAGTATGCTGTTAATATGACCACTTAAATAATAGAATAACTGTCGAAATCCAATAATGATCATAATTGGCTGGGGGCAGGTTTTGTAAATGCACTCAGTGTTGTGAACAGTGACACAATGGCCACTGGGAAATGGTCTGGATTCAGAGGAAACCATGGAAGAGCTTTTAAAGATTAGATGCTGTTATTTTCATAAACATTTTTTTCCAACAAATATCTTTAATTGAAACCTCAGTGCTGTCATGGAGCAGGCAAACTGTGTGCTACTGGTAGCTATCATTTAGCTTTATAAATGAATTATTCATTTAGCAGCCACTTAATTTGCAATACATTAAGAAGAAAGTGAAGCATGTATGACTGTTCATTTTTAACTTGTGCATAATTTACTTGCTTCTATTGTATTAGAGTCTCAACCACTATATTACTCAAAATGTCCATCACTACTAACTTTCTCATCATTACATTAAAGTTTGCCATTTGGTTGCATACGACACAGTGCATTATGGATGTTCCGTTTCCACAAGGGTACATTGTTTGGTACATTACATATTGTTAGATTGTAAATGTGTACTGGCTTTTCTCCAGTATGTTTGATTGCACATTAAACAGTTAGTTTCGGCCACACAAGCTGATTGGTTGAGAAGCGTTCTAACCGTGCTGTTATTTCGCCGTAACATCATAGTTTTTTCACAAACACTGTATCACTCCGCTGAGACGCTGTTGCTAAGCAACGATTTTGATAGATGTAGGAGACGCTCAAGCCATTTGAATGTTTTTACTTCTTATTTTGCGCACAAACAGATAATGGACACTTTTAAGATACATTTGACTGACAGCCGATTTGGTCAGACTGAAGATGAGTCTACACTAAATTCCCAAACTGTCATCACCACTGAGCAACTTTTCAGTCGGCAGCTGTGACAGAAGAAAACATAAACAACCTGGAATTGGTCAGAAATGAACTGAATACCATTCGCCAAACAAAATAGGCTGTGAAATGCTTTACAGACTGGCTGAAACAAAACAACATTAATATTGATCTGGCAAAAAATGACAACACTGAGCTAAACTTGATATTGCGGCAGTTTTATGGCTCAGTCTGTACTTCAAAAGGCGAGGCTTACATCAGACTGTGCAGCGAGTGAGCAGAGTTCATTATTCTGATGTAGCAACAAGCTGCTTGTTAAGGAACTATAATTTGACGGAAGGAACTGCTAACATTAAAATATATTAAACGCCACGGTCACAACTCAATTTATTTATTTCTTACTTTATTTATTTAACTGTTGTATAAAAGCAATGGAACACTCGAGGTTGTGTGTTATCGCAAATAACATCACGGCTGTGATGATCTACGGCACTTGCAGCCATGATGTTATTTCGCGATAACACACAACCTCTCGTGCTCTATTGCTTTATCATCATGAAATGGAATACTCCAAAAATGGTGCAGTACATAGTGAATAGGCCATAATTTTGAATACAGCCTCAGTCTCACACTGCTGAACCCTTTAGTTCAGTTACAGAAGCAAAGACATGCGTGTAGTACTGCTAACATATGGTTTTGCTCCCAGTACAGTAGAGGTCCTTATGTTTAGTCCTGGGCACTGTTTCAGACATTCACTGCCCTGACACATCTGAGCCAGTTTACTAGCTGACTATCACCCTTAGTGATTTGGTTTAGATGTGTACAAAGATTTTCTAAGGAACCAATATGCACACTGAATCGAGTAAATAGTCACTGTCATAACAAGTCTTGCATGTTGAAATTAGTAACTTCACAGAAAAAACATTCTTACTGTCAATGTATGTTAATGTAACAAGAGTGTATTTGTTCATTTCTATGTCACTTTGGATCATTTCTATTGGTCCGTTCATCATTTTCACACAATGTAATGAGCAGCTTGTGTTTTTAATGGTGTAAAAATATAATGAAGTCATGAAGTTCTGATATGATGGTTATGAGGTTTTCACAGTGATAAAATTCAAAGCACTGTTCTTTTTTTGGTAGAATCTCTGATTTCGCTACACTACAGACTACAATGAGCACTACAGACATTTTGTAAAGCGATGATTGTGGCTTTATCACACAGTCTGCCCCACACAACCTAAACAAGTATGAACAGAAAGCACTATCTAGTGGATGCCAGTGGTTATTGCGTCCATCAGTAAGATTTATGAACTACTCTGTCTGCAGCTACAGGTACATTGTGCAGTTTTGTCTGCATTTGCATATATGTTCATTCATTTGTGTATGTATGTGTGTGTGGGTGGGTGGGAGTACAGACCTGGTGGAGTTGATGATGATGCAGAATGCGCAGATGCACCAGGTCATCATGAACAACATGACCATGTCTGCTCTCAGTATGTTCGGCTACACGCAAACGCCTGAGGTAAATAAAACTCACATGCAGATACGAACACAGTGAACATTTAGATTACCAGACAGTTTCTTTAAATGTCTAATTAGTCCAGATTATAAATTAATAAAAGATGCTGTGCAAAATTCAGTGACCACCCTTTATATACACCGATCAGGCATGTCATTATGACCACCTCCTTGTTTCTACACTCAGTGTCCATTTTATCAGCGCCACTTACTATAACATATATACTATAACATAGTACAAACATATATACTATGTTTTTTAGAGGTGATGCACAGTGGGGACCCTAGGAAGGTTGATGTATGTTTTACTTTATAACAGCATGCAGGTCCGGTTACACCAGCTGAGGATGATCCAGAGGTTTACCATCACTACTACCCTTTTGCCCATGGCTTATCTCACCCTGTGTGGATGCCTCCTCTGGGCGAGCCTCAGATGCCTCAGCTCCAGACTATCCCGAGCTTTCAAGACCCCCTTCACCCTCCACACACCGTCCACACTCAACACAGAGACAGGTGAGAGGGCGTACATACACATAACCAAACCAGCCTATAACGGTTAATCAAATGTGACACAAGAAAAAAAATAAGTTAAAATGATTTATGCGCTGCAAAATTACACAAATGCCACTGACTCGACGACAAATGATACAAAAGATACACATTTAAGCAGTTTGTTAGCTAGCTATCACTCTTCTAGGGTTGAATCTGGCACTTTGTGACAAATAGGTAGTGGTAGTTGATTTGAGCTGAGAAGCACTGCTATAGATAATGAAAGCTGTTCATAATATGTCATTTTACAGGAAGCAAAGTAAGTGAAACATGATACTAGAACTTTTGTAAAGTTTTGTAAAAAATAAGGTTGAAAGTAATTTATGCAGTGTGGAAAAACACAAAATGCCATTGACTTGAATACAAATGATACAAAAAATGCATGCATGTTCCATATTAATGTAACACACACACACACACACACACACACACACACACACACACTAACTCATTTGAGTTCTGTTATGCAGAAGACCTGTGCCGCCCCCACCACCTCCCAGCGCAACCGGTACTGTTGGCGCTGACGTCCCTCCTGCTTCAGGTACACACATATGATTATTCCTTCTGCCGTCTGCATAGCATATCCGTGTACTGAAGCCCATTCCTGCCTGGCAGATCGCTTTCCCCCTCTTTTTCTGTATCTTGCAACAATATGTCAACATTTCGACTTAATATCTTGAAATGTGACTTATTTTCTCAAAGATTTGATTCGGGTCCAAAAATATCTGATTTTCTCATTATGTTTTATGCAGAATTTTAACTTTTTATCTTTAGATTTTGAGTTATTGAGACAACCTTTCAATGTACAAAAAAAAGATGCATTTTGAGCACCTCAGTTTTGAGATACTATGTATAAAATCAATTTTCCATGTAAAAAAATCTCTCTCTCTCTTTGTTAGAGTATTATGAAGCAGAAAGGAGGCAACATGGAACAGAAGAGACATAGAACTGATACAAAGTCAAGTCAGATTTACCAGGACCTAAACAATTACACACCGCAAAATAATGCACTCAATTTAAGTAATGCATAGAATTTTTGATGTATATATGGATAGAATATAATATATAATAACACAATTCTGTCTTTCAGTTTACTTACATCTTGCACTAATTGTATATATATATAGTGTATTTCATTCATGTGGGAAGGAGAATCAAGTCAGTTTAATGGATTGTTTTTAACACTACAGTCAATCAGCTGTTGGTGTCAGCAGTACAAACTGCTGCTAAAACCTCACATAGAGTCAGTACAAAAGCAGGCTAGTTAAAAGACCATGCCCACTAAAACATGCATCTTTATCATTCTGGTGTTTGGGAAATATAGATTTTTTTTGGACAAGGGCCTCTTTGTCTTCACATATTAATCATATTAGCCACAGTATATTATTACAGTGATAGTTAGATATATTTAAACACACTTGTTATTTAATGTGAGATTTTAATGAGTAATAAAGGACTCATCATGGCTCTGTTGTACAGTGTCTTCATTCCTCCCACACATACTCAGAATTAAGCAGAATATAACAACATTTCACCAGCAGGTGGTGACATTTACATTCAGATCTAGTAAGTGTTGTAAGCAGTGATCTTCACTAATAACAAGCCACTAATAGTCTAACACACAACAAGCCAACTAGCCTATACAAATAGATATATTGTGAAGTTTAAAAAGGCATTCTTCTCATGACAGTGACTCAGATACACCACTGGCATTTCTAATACAAAGACATTGTGTAATTGACACAAAGCACTGCTCTTAAGAAGCATTGAAAACTGACTGCTAATAAAGGCCCCTTATGGAGAATTTTACACCTGCTAAATGCGATTGAGTGAGTTAGTTAGGTGACACTTTGTTTTGAGTCGTCCTTTTTGAATGAAACAAGCAATGAACTGACTCTCAGTAACATGTCAAAAACATATGAGGGTTAGGATTAGGGTCAGGGTCAGGATTAGGCTCTGTGTTGAGGTTAAGATTAGGGTTAGGATTAGGCTCTGGGTTGAGGTTAAGATTAGGGTTAGGATTAGGCTCTGGGTTGAGGTTAAGTTTAGGTTTAGGATTAGGGTCAGGGTCAGGGTTAAGTATTGGGCAAGGTTGGGCCAAGGTTAGGTTTTGGAAGTAACATATTAACAATATATCTACTTAATGTAAGTAATGTATCAACAGAACATCTACAAGATATTTACTTCAATGTATTCAGATGCTTCACTACTGCTACTTCACTGAAATGTTCGTGATGTGTTACTGATAATCTGTTGAGAGTTTATTAATGATTTACAAAGGGCCACTCCAAATGAAGCGTTACCGTTAGTTACAAGCAAGGTCCATGAGGTCCATAAAACACTAACTAAACAGAACTGCTGTCCATACCCAAAGTCTTTATAAGATAGTCAGTCCACTTGACAGCCATATTGGCAACGTCCCCTGGCAGTTATTTATACAACACCAGGCTCATTGAGAGACCTATAGACCCTTAACCAAAAGCCAAAATTATGTTTTAAAAACACATTTGAAATCAGTGGTTAAATCTGCCAAAAACAGCATAAATAGTTTGTAGCCTTTGGCTAAAATAACACATTTACCTCCAAGCCTCAATTGGTTAATTGGCTCATTTTGTTGAAGGGCGAGACTCTTCCTGTAAACAGACACCATGTTGAGCATTACAAGCTTTCCTATTAATTTTCAACCAGCGACCTCTCTCCTCCTTTACAATAACTCTGCTATAACTCTCATATGAAACCAAATGCTGAGTAAAAATCAGAAATTAAAGCTTGTTCATTGTTGTACTGTTGTTTGTGTTACTGTTAACAGACCCGTTGCGTGAGAAACTATGTCACCACCACACGACCTCTAGAGAAGGAGGTTTCAGACGTACAAGTGGACAGTGGACAGCGAGCTAGAACAGAACAAAATATGGACTAGAAACTTTGAGTGATCAATGGAGCAAACAAAGCTTTATACAAAAGCTTTATAATATACATAATATAATAAACAATCATGAATATTGTAAAACAGATAGTAAAAATGGAATACCGTTGCTTGGTCTGTTCTATGAGGAAAGGAAGTAAAAAGTACATTTACACACATTTACACCTGTGACCAGCAGAGGTCAGTAAGCAGAACTTTAGCTTTGAGGATGAGTCAGAGTTTATAAGTATCCCAGTGTTTCTGTCTGAAATCTGTGTAAGGCAGTAAAGGAGGAGAGAGGAGAAGACGCTGGGGAATAAGAGGTGGGAAGACTGAGATTAGCAGTGGGTAAAATGAGAGAAGGAGCATAAACATCAAAGGAGGAGAGCCAACAGAGTGGGTGAGAGGTCAGAAGAGTGAATATGTTTGACATTTATGTGGCTTTATGTAGAAAAAACAGACATTTTTTTATATTTTCACGTGACCTTTTTTATTCAAATTTTTCTATATTGTGCCCCAGTGAAACACTCGTTGTGAATGGGTGGAGCAAAACACCTGTAGGCTCATTTTTTTGTGGCATAGACCCTTTAATAACATACTAAAATTAATTCTTCTGAATTCTAGATGACATATGTCACACTTACTTGTCTGCAGTTTTAGGTGTCCAACGTGTCCAGCGAAATTACATATTAACAATTATACTCTAATTAGACATGTATTTGGAATAAAAGTGAAACAAATCATGTATTTCCTTGCTAAATCGAGGGAGATATTACCACTCAAATAGGTTTGAAAGAGAGGAAACAGGCCACTAAAATAAAGATAAGCTGTAAGTTGCAATATTTGCTGGATTCACTGTAAATCTGCAACATATGAAGCAATAATGCATTATTTGCATGTATTAGAAGTTCAAACGTATGTATGTAAACCACAGCTGCCGCAGGTGGTATTAAACCCAGTGTAAACCAGTTTACTCCACAGTTAGCTTGATGCTAGTAGAACACTGCAAACCCAATAGGGAAGCTAGCAGGAATTATCGTTGTTGTAACAGTGATAGTTGGATAAAAATAGACTGCTTACAAAGTGAATGGTTAGCCTGTGTTATGCAAGAATGCAATATTTACTCTTTGTGTATCATGATTACATAATGCTCTCACATGTATTGCATGACTAGTCAAGTCTGTAAGGTAAAAGAATGGAGAAGGATACATGCAGTTCTTGCCTGAAATTTTAGGCCAAAATCTTTGTGATTTAATTATTTTTTTACTTATTTATTAAGTTTTTAAGCTTTGCAAGGTCAATGGATGCTTAAGATTAATGGAACAACACTGGACATTTGACATTTCATACTCTATTCAGCAAAACAACGTTGTGATTTTCAGCTGTGCAAAACCTGAAAATTAACTAGCATCTACAAGGAAGCTATTACACACACCCATTTTTGAATTATTGAGAAAATGAATGCAGTCATGGTATTTTGGGTGTTTTCTGCTCTGAGTGTAGGATGGAAGAATTGTTGTTCTACTGAACGGTGGTTTTATTTAAACTGCAAACGTTACTATATCGGTAACATAGTTTAGTACACACACCACACACCATGCAACGTGACAGAGGTTTGGGCAACTCATCAAATGAAATATAAAACTGGTTGATGTGGACAAATAACTGAACAAACCACAAGAGCGACCGAGCGCTCAGGTTTCTCAGAACTTTATGTGTCATTAGGCAGATTTAACCTTTCAAGTCACATGTTGAGTCCAGCACTTCTGTGGGGACAGTGTGTGTGTGATGACTTGTATTGCATAACAGAGTCTGCTGTGATAAAGACACATCTCTCATCACTGAGACACACACACACACACACACACACACACACACACACACACACACACTCTCTCTCTCTCTCTCTCTCTCTCTCTCTCTCTCTCTCTCTCTCTCTCATTCCATATTCCCAGTGTGAGTTTGAGGTGTGGGCCATGGATAGTCTTGCAGAGAATCAGAGGTCAGACTCTGTGTAATCAGTAAATAAACAAACAAACTCGTGCACACACACACACTGGGACACACCTGCCAGCTTACATTTGACACAATAAGTACAGTTATATGCAGAAGTTTAGGCTTGTTTCTAGTGATTTCCTAAGAGCCTATGCCAGCGGTCATCAGGTGTAAGGCAGGAAACTCCCTGGACAGGTTGCCAATCCATCACAGGGAAGACACCCAGACAAATACATCCACATTCACATGTAGGGGCAATTTAGCATCTTCCCCACCAATTGTCAGACTAATTTTCCACCCCTGTATATAAAATCAAGCTGGTTGCAGATAAATTTATACAATAATCACAATATGCTAGTCCACAGTTACAGGTACCTCAGTCCATTATGTTTGATGTTATGATGGCTAACTAGAGTAGACTTAGTAGATATAAAATGACACTGAACATTAAGGCACCAGTAATTACCAGTAATAGTATCATCACACTATTCTGAACATAATGCCTCTGATCTGAGATCAGCCATCTAGCTTAAAATGACTTTGTGAATTCCACTTTAAGTTCCAAGTAGCTTACATCTTGTTTTAAAGGGCTCATTTCATGGAAAACAAAATTTTCCTATTTTTTTAAATAAATGATTGTGACGTCATATGTAAACATTGTTCAAGTTTTATCTATGCAAACACAAATCTAGTATAATGTAATTTTAATGACTACATTTCACAAACACTTTCTTGGCGTTACTAAGGGCAATTCCTTCCTAAAGTAAATGGAAATAATCACATTTAGGAGTTCAGTGATAAGAAACTTCAAAGGGAAACAACTGTTTAATATGTACATTATACAATATTCTGTTTTCCTAGGAGCCATTTTGGTTTAAAGGGCCTTAGTAATGCTGTAGGATGTAGAATGTAAACATTGTTGAAGTTTTATATGTGCCACTCACTCCTGAGTCCATATGAACTTTCAAAGGTAAACGCCTGCTAAATATGTACATTAAACATTCTGTTGCCATCTGTTTTGGTCCATTTGGTAATGATCTGATGTCTGATTTTATTTATTGTGCATTTCTGCTGATTGTTTACATGTTATTTTTGGGTGAAGTGTTGCTAAAACTCTGCTTTACCAGCAGTGT